TATTCTTGATATATTAAACATATAAAACAAAATTTCTTTAAATTTTTTTATTTTAAATCAGTTTTAAAACTAAATACCATTTTTTTTAAAATTAAATCCTGCAGGGAGTGCAGAATTATTTAAATTTGGATTTAAGAATATCTGAGAATAGGGACATGCCTGATAAACAATCTAATAAAATGTTGTCTTAATTCGATAGTTTTCCGCTATTTTATAGAAAGCTAACGTCAAAAGTTGAAAAACTAATCATTTTTAGCTTCGATGCAAAGCGAGAAGGTATTGGTTTTACTCTGATGTGGGCTTTTTTTTTCGCTGTATACACTGTAACTTTTTTAATACTTGACCAATTCCTTCGAATAGCAACTCTATAAATCACAAATTTTGTCTAGTTTGTACTTTGGGGGGGTAAAAGTTGAAAAAGTTTAATTAATCACAGACGAAAGTTGAAAAAACAAAAAAAAAACCGTACGAGTTTTTAAGTTAGAACTTTTAATGGCTATAATTTCGAGAAAAAGAGTCGCATCGAGTTGAAATGTATAAGAAATAATTATTTGGTATGCCCGCACACGTCAGTTGTGTCAAACTTAAACTATACCCATTTCCCGACCCCCTAGGGGGAGTACAAGTTTTTTTGTTTTTCGGGGTTTTTAGCAGTAATTTTAAAACTTTTGGGTTGAAAATTTGTCAGTAGTTGGAACTCATATGTACCCATAACACACTAAACGGGAAAAAAATTCGGCACTACAGTTTTTTTTTAATTGCCGGAAAACCGTGTTTTCGCACATTGGTCGCACAGGTTTAATCTTTAAATTGAATTTCCTCAAAAACATGATTCGTACTAATCGTGTGCAATAATTATAGGCTTATTTTAAGTACTTACATTATTGCCTTCACAGTGCTTTTATCAATACCTATTTCTTCATATTTCTACTAAATAAAATATACTATCGGCGGCAACGTCACATTAACATTTTTATGCCTTTTTTATGAATATTATTTTATCAATCAGCAATTGTTAAGTTTAGGTTAGGTTAGGTTAACTGAGGCCCTTTCATGATGTCAATGTGGATTTTGTTCGGTTATCTTAAACACGGTCTATATATTAATTCTAATAGATATTTTAAAACTCCATTTTTTTTGCATAAATCATTTTTGAAAATATACTTACAAGAAGGAATACTTTAGTTGCATGAAATTAAATGATTGTTGGAAAATTTAACCATGTAATTTGCATTTCTCATAAAGAAGAATATAGTATATTAACTACTATATGTAAACTGTAGGATATCTCGAATTTTTGGATGAAATATATTATGTATTTACTTAAACACATAATAGTGATAGGCTGTTTGTCAAAATTCCAAACATCAGTATTGTTACTCTTGTACAAGTTTCTGAACATACTAATGAAATATGTATAAAACAAATTATTTGAGTGTATAATTAGGTTTAGATCCTTCGCACTATGTGCACTATAAAATTCAATTACGTTTTACAACGAATTAGAAACTGTGTTAAAACCAATAGATATTTGCACCGATATTGTTACTCATTAGCATAATTATTTTCATTCTGCATACAGGAACAAATTGATTTCCATGATCAATGCATCAGTAATAATTGTGTCTAGGAAGGGGGGGGGATTTTTGCTATTTGAATAATTCCAATTATTCACTCTTAAAAATAGAGACCACCCCTCCCCCCCCCAAAAAAAATGGACTGAATGAGTAGACATTTTATTAGGAATGCCGCTTTTAAAAATTACTCTTAGATCAAAATAATATCTTCCCACTTCTTCCCTAGAAGAGAGGTAGAATTTTCGTTTATTTAACGCGTTTTTTAGATTTATGAGCTTAATAATATTTCTACTAAAAATAGGCCATACCACATTTATAAAAATGTATTACATACTATAAAATTAAACTAAAATATAACAACAAATTCATAAATAAATACTAAGAAATTTAATATTTTGTGTGTAACGCTCTCTTAAATCCCGAATTTTCGACAGGCGAGAGATGTATGAAATGTACGCCACCCCATTTAAACTTTATTTAAGTGCTTTCAAAAATCTTGCGAATAACGCAAGGTAAAGAATTGTATGTATTCTATATCTCGCTGTAGGGAGCGCCTTAGAAGGAATCGTTTAGCTATTGATTTTACTACGTTATAATGATTTTATTTTTTTATTTTTATGCCTGCACTCACGAAGCAGCTAAGACGCATGGCTAAAAACAGAAGATATTACAGTGTACAGTAATAGTAACAGTATTACAGTATAGTTATACTTTTATAGGTCACTCATTTTACATTATATTTGATTTGGGAAAAAAACAATTATATTTTTATAATCAGGTTTAGCTTTAAACCGAAAACTACTAATTTTGATTATTAACAGTTTTTCTCAAATGAAACCGGCAATATCACTCAATTTTTGTCAAATTATTATTTTAAAAGAAGATTAGCGTAGGACGTTAAAAGAATCACCCGGTATATCTTGAACAAAGTGTTTTTAGCAAAACCGTTGGTACAAACTGTGTAAATGTTTTTCGCTAGAAATGTTAGGACATAATATATGGTTACTAGTCTCCACAAAAGTATATTATTGCATTATTATGAATAATATACTGAAATTCGTTTTATTTTTTTTTGAAAAATACATTGAAAATCATGAAAAACAACTCGTTTTGAAAAAAATCCCTTATGTTAGACAAAGGAAATAGATTATGTTAAATATTTCGATTCAAATAAACCTTTATTTTAACGTATGAATAAAGCAGCAGCCATGCTGTTGCTTAATTATATAAAAATATAGCATATTATATCAAAAACAAAATAAAAATTATCAATTATATGGATATTTTACCCGCAATGACATTAATATTTATGTCATTTAAGCTAAAAGTTATGAATACAAAAATATAATCGTTAGTATAATAATTAACCTTAATATTTGCGTTTTAACGTGATGTTAGGAAAAAATAATTTTAAATACTGCTACGAATATCGATGCAAGTTCATCTTTAAAAATTTAAACCATAGGTTAAGTGTAAATGTAGTGCACTCAATTAAGTAAACAGATTTTGGATACAAAAATATAGCTCATGTTTTTGAACAACATGAACAACTTGTTTTTGTCGTCTAAATGTTTGTTTTAAAATAAAATATACAAATGACATTGTACTTTTTTAAATAGATAATATTTTAGTGGCAGAGCATTATGCACATTTCTGTATCTTACACAGATTTAGTCACCGCAGCTAAACAATTTTGATACGGTAGTATATAACTTGTTTTCGATTTTTAGATCTGTATCTTTTTTTGGACCTATATATATATATATATATCGGTATTGGAACAATAATTCTTGAAGCAGTTATTAATGATGGCATTTAAAACAAATTTTATCAGGATGTTTGTATTGTTATTTTTGGTTTTAACAATAGTTACAGGTAATATTATATATTTTGATGTAATTAAAACCTTATTTTTAAATAGTTATGTTGTATAACTTTGATCAATTTCAGTAACCCAACCAGCTGTCGTCGGTATGTTTACATTTACAAAAGAATAGTTGATAATTTACATAATATTCTGTTTTTTTTTTATAAATCATAATTTAAGTGAATTTTGAATTTTTATAAAATTATATATAAATATACATTACTGTACCTATCCAGAATGAAATCCCTAGATTGTTTTAAATGTATTATTTTCTAGAACCACCACTAGGATATCCGGTCGGTATGTATACCTTTCTGTAGATAATTAAATAATAATAATAATTCTAATGTACAATACAAGCACTCATTAAATGATTACCCTCATATTAACGAAAACACATCTCAAAAGCAGACATGCTCAAATGACTTGGAAGTAATCCCTTAAAAAATACAATTTCTGCACCAAAATCGTACATAAATAAAGTCATGACATCCTTTCTTGAAGATCTAAATTCCATTACAGCTAAATCATTACTAAAGTAATTAACAATTAATTAGACAAAATATATGGCTAGTCATCCCTCATTATATTTTACAATATAATAAATTGACATTTACATAATAGTTTTAGTCTTTCATCATTCTGGAAGCAATTTTTCTAATTTATGTAATATATTTCTATCTATTTTCAAATTAATTCATTATCATATCTTTTTGTACCCAATGTTATTTATTTGGTTTAAGTATACATTTATTTTATTTTATTGGTCCTTTTGACTTATTATTAACTGTATTCCTTTTTAGTAACCCCGCCTGCAGCTGTCAGTAAGTTTACATTTATAAAATAATAAATTATAATTAACATAATATTTTTATTTTTTAATAATAATACACTTATTTCGATCATTTTTTAAATTAATTTATAATTCAATGTTGTTATGTAGTGGCGCAACTAGGTGTTCTAGTGACTTGGTGTAATACTAAATATGATGCCTTCAGCTAATGGAGTTTACATCGTTGTTTTTACAAATGACCATAGAGGGATCACTCGCACATTACTTCTCTAAACAAAATTTATACATACATTTACTACTAGGTACATCCGTACGTATAGGTGATTGATTTTACATGAGCTTTTTATCATTATCATGAATATCATACTTAAAAAAATTCAAACTTTTAGAACAAAATAACAAATTTTTGCTACACTATCTTTAGTAAAGTATAAAAAAATTAATGTAATCAATAAGTCATGTTTACTTATACATGCGGGCGTTACGTTATCTTAATATAGGTACCATAAATATGAAGTCGCTAAAAATATGTACCTCTTAAATTGGGGTGCCCTGTTGTAAGTACCCCCCTATACCCCAGCTAATTGCACCACTGTTGCTCTGTACATTACTATTTATATTGACCAATAGTAACTTTACATTTAATTAGATAAGTAAATAATAATTTAGTTGAATTTTGCATTTATTATAGTATTGTAAAATTAAACCTTACTGTCTCCAAAGTTTAATTAATTAAAGGTTTTTACTTCATTATTATCTAGAAATGGAAACTTTCGGTATGTACACGTTTACGTAGATGAATATACATTACTGTATCTATAATTGAATTAACTGAATATTATTTTATAGAGTCGGAAACTGGCAGTAAGTATACATTTACGTAAATAAGTTAATAACAATTTAGGCGAATTCTGCATTTCTTTCAATACATTATATATATTCAATAATTTTTAATTCGATGTGGCTATGTACAGTCCTTACTTATTTTGGACTGTAAATATTCTCCTAGAAAATGAGTGTCTTATGTTTAATTGATCACCCTCTATATAAATACAATGTACTCACGGCTAATGAAAATAAATTTCCAGGGAGAGAATTAGAAAATGTAGAAGAAAACATAGAACAGGGGCAAGTAAACCAAGGGGGACCAGTGGTCTTTAAAGCATGCAAACTTATAATCAACGATGAGGAACAGCCAAAAGGTATACTCGGAAATCAAGATATAAACATTAGATGGAATGGTAAAGATAGACTGGTGATCAATAACAAATCAGTTACACCAGACAATGGATACGAGAATATAAAAATCAAGTACGACTCAATGGGAGGAATAACAGTGAATAAGCAATATATAAAAGGATTCGAAGGGTTAAAAGCTACAGGCCAAACTATTTTGAGATTGCCAAGTAATTAATAAAAATATACTATTATTTATATGTCTTAAAAAATTGATTTATAAAAAAGTATTTCTTACAAATATTTTACTATACAGTGTTGGACTAGTAAAAGTTAAATAAATAATCACATAATAAGTTACTGTGTCCAAAATGTAATTAATTGAATATTATTTTCTAGATATAAAAACTGATGGTATGTATAAATTTATGGCAGATAATTAAATAATAATTAACCCGACTGTGCCTGGTATTAATTTTATTGATTGTTATAAATTTATCATTTTCTAGCACGTGATGATGAAGGTATGTATACGTTTACACAGATAGGTAAAAAATTATTTAGGTTAATTTTGCAATTTTCTCAAAATATTTTACGTTATTCTATTGTATATTTAATTCATCAAATACTTTGACAAACTTTTTAAATAATTTGCTGAACATTTTGAGACTGGTCGCTAACCAGTTTTGGATAATTAGTATAAAAGTTATTGTAGTTTACATGTTAAACTGGAGGGGAAGTGCGGTTAAGTGAATGCGCTCAGATAAAAATATATCTGATCTCTGTCCTTCCTTCCGCCCTAAATTTTAAACTCATATAACTTTGAAGATAATTATCTAAACGGTTATCAACCAATCACAATGTTCAGCAAATTATTCTTAATTTAATAAGTTAATCAAATATATTAGTTGCCTTTAAAAACCCCAAGTTTTTATGATTTTAACATATAAGGGATAGGGTTATATTTTTTAAAAATATAATGAATTTGTCCCAACTTATAAACTCATAAAAGTATAAAAAGAATAAAAAAATCTAATTTCTTCTTAGTTATTGAGTGGGTCATAGTTAAATAGTCTATATACATTTAGGCATTAAATATTATTTTAAATTTGGATTTTTTTATAATATGTTGTAAATATTTCATTAGTTATTAAAAAAATGAATTTGTTTTAATTTCAGCTTGTCCGTGTGAGTATACTTAACTTATATTACTTTTATCAAATTTAATAATATACTATCAAAAAATATTTAAAACAAACATTTGTTTTAATTTCAGGTTGTGTGCGTAAGTATACTAAACTTCTATACTTATATGAAATTTAATAATTGATTATTAAACAAATATTTAAAAAAAAAAAAAACATTTGTTTAAATTTCAGCTTGCAAAGAATGTGAGTATACTAAAATCGTTGTACTTTTATCAAATTTAATCCTTTATTATTCAAAAATATTATTAAAAAAACATTTCTTTTAATTTCAGGTTGCAAAGGTGAGTACACTAAATTGATTTTATTTTTATCATATTTATTTATTTATAGTTGAAAATTGTTTAAAAACGTTTGTTTTGATTTCAGCTTGTGACCAATGTGAGTATACTAAAATTGTTTTACTTTTATCAAATTTAATAATTTACTATAAAAAAATTATTTAAAAAACATTTGTTTTAATTTCAGTGTTAGCTAGTGAGTATACTAAAATTATTGTACTTTTATAAAATTTAATCATATTTTATTATAAAAACTATTTTTTATATCATTACAAAAAAAAATTAAGTAAAAACCTAGCTAAAAACATTGAAATCAAATTGATACGATATTATTTTTTTAGATGGCATTATCTGTTCCATAGTATAAAATATGTCAGATGTGAATAATTACTTGAAGTCTTGTATAATTAGTTTTGTGCTATAATTTCATACTTTTTAACTACAGTATGCTGATCTGTAATTCATCTTACTCAATTTAAAAAAAAAACATATTTTCACTATGAAATAATACATAATATTATTGTGATTATGATTTTTTTATTTATATCTTACATTTTTATGTTGCTTGTTCAAAATTCTAATTATCTTTTATGCGTTACGCGAATAATTTTTGTTTTAAAATATATATTATGCATAAATTGTTTAAAATCAAGTTTTCACATTTTTTGTTATGTAATAAATTTCATGCAATTATGTTTTCGTTCAAATGACCATGCACTTAACATTATGAATAATTTTCTTGATTAAAATATTTAATTGATGTCATAACATAATGTATTTATACGTCATATAATTATACCTACTACATATATTAATTTGATTGTGCTTTGATTTTTTAATTCCTATTAAAGTTGACCAGCCAAAAATCAGACATTACTCCCTGACTAAAATAAATGCAAAACAATTAAAACCTATTTGTTCCGAAAAAGCTCCTGTGAGATTAACTCATTAAAAAAAAAGTATTTTATAGTTAAAGCCTTTTTTGTTTACTTATAATAACTATCCCGTTCTAAATAGTATACTTAATTTTTAAATCATTTATACTCATTTGCGCTTTTTATCTTAATAATTATTCTCTCCACCCTATACTTATATTTACCAAAAAATATTTTTCATCATTTGTCTACAACTTTTAACACTTATAATTCATTTATAAATTAAAAAAAAATTCTTCTATGGGGTACCTATCTATTTTATGTTTCGAAAATTATATAATATGTGACTTTATTTGTGGTTAAAATTTTTTCCTTTGAAAATTTCAATAATTTAATTTGCAGCATTACTGTAAAATTTAAGTATTGTAGGTTAGCTATATGAACGCACACTAAAAAAAGCTAATAGTTTTTATAAAAGTTTAAACTACCTATACTTTATTTTAAAATGATTACACATAACTATTTTACTTATTTTTAATCCTGTAGACATGGACGTTATTGAAATATTTTTGGTTTATTTCTTATAAATAAATACTTATAATGTATGCAATTCTGTTTTTATTTTAAAATATTTTGTAAACAAATATTTAGTTATCTATAAAAAAAAATTAATATATGAATAAATTTAAATAGTTTAATTATTATTAAAATAATCATATATTTCGATCAAAAATATCTTAAAATTTTTAATTATTTACTCCTCGAGCTACATTGTGTGCTTTAAATTTGTATACATTATTGACAAAAAAATTGTATGTGTTCATTCCTCCCTAAAAAGAAACAACTATACTATATTATCTAGGTAATTTATTTTAATAACATAATACATTACACATGTTGTGCTATTGTAATTATTTCAGTTTTACACCCTGGACTTATAATACTCATACTTTGATATACCACCACACCTTAAGCACTTGCGCATATTATATACCTTTAATGTTTCATGCCGCGTGTACTTCTAGCGATTAAACTTCAAACACTGAAGCCCGACACTTGGTTATTAACCAAGTCTAACTTCTAGACATTTTATTTGATATTCTTCTCCTTCTTCTTTCCAGAATTTCCATCATTTGTCTAACGGGGAGAGATCTAATTTCTAACGCCAGATTGAAAAGTACAGGGGAAAGCGCATCTCCCTATCCTAGGTCAGCTCTAACTTCGAAACTTTCTGACAGTTTATTCGGAACTTTTACTTTACAGTATGTATCGGTATTGCTCTCTTTTATTAGCTGGAGTAATTTGGTCGGTATACCAAATTCTTCCAGCGCTGACCATAATTTTTTTCTCATAATACTATCGTACGCCTGTTTAAAGTCCACAAAGCAAAGATGCACTTCTCTACCATACTCATAGTACTCTTCTAACAATTGTCTGATAATAAAAATGGGGTATGTGGCGGATTTCCCTCTCATAAAGCCGCTTTGACAGTCCCCAATTATGCCGTCGGCATAGACTTCCAGCCTTCGCAGACTGCCATCGACAAAACTTTATAACGGGTGTCTTTAAATTGAGAAAAAAAAATTACCATAAATTTCAAACAAGCAGCAACGAACACTAGCTTTTTTTTAATATTATGTAGAATCGTACTAACTTTTCCGAGTGCACACTTATATTACGTATAAGATATGAAGATAAAAATGTTTTAAGTACTGAAAAATATAGTAAAATATGTATCTGCATGTATAATCACCCTGTACTCAATGGACACGACTTGTTTTCGCGTAAAAGTTTGGTCGGTACAAATAATAAAATTGTTTTCGCGGTTTCTTTAAATAAATAATATTTCAGTGGCGAATTTCACTGTAAAGTACGTTACACCGTTTTAAGTCGCACTCGAACCGTAGAAGCCATATCGTTTCAAAGTATAATTTTTTCCCCAGAGCAATAGCGGATTTTATGGATGGCGTTCAAAGAAAGTCTTATCAGAATAGTGGTTTTGTCATTTATTGTTTTAGTAATGACTACAGGTAATTTATTATAAAATTTTACAAATACATTATTGTAAATAATGTAACAACTGATAACAGGCTTAAAGCAAGGTGACGCTCTTTCACCACTACTGTTCAATAATGCACTGAAGAAAGTCGTACGGAGTATACAAAGGTATCGACATCGGCACAAACAAGATTGGTATTTTAGGTTTTGCAGATGATTTGAATATAGTTGGTGACGATGGGGAGAGTGTGACGCAGAGCACCGTAGCCCTCATTAACGAAGCAAAAACCATAGGGCTGAATGTAAATGATAATAAAACTAAAGTGATGGAGCTATTACCAGAAAACAACCAGGTCGGCAATGTAGTGATTCAAGGACGTACATTTGAAAAAGTGCATTAATTTACATATCTGGGGCCTCTATCAGTGGTAATAATGACTGGTCCGTCGAATTAAATAGCCGAATCATCAAGGCAGAAAAGGCATCATTTTCGTTAACCAAATACCTAAAATCTAAACTGGTTACTAGAAGAACCAAAGTACATCTCTACACGGCGATAATTAGACCAACACTAATATATGGATGTGTGGTATGGCCTTTAACAAGCAGAATGGAACAAAAACTTATGTCGTACGAAAACAAAATGCTGAGAATCATCTGCGGCCCAGTATACGATAACGAACTGGGATGCTGGCGCAGAAGAATGAACAAAGAGATCCGAGAATTGACAGGAGTACCAAGGATAACCAACTTTGTGAAAGCACAGAGAATAAAATGGTTTGGGCACGTGATGAGAAGGTCAAGCTCAGAGTACCTTAAAGCGGCGGTCGAATGAAAACCCACAGGGAAGAGACCAAGAGAACGTCCAAAGAAGCGATGGATAGATGGGATAAAGCAGGACTTAGAGAAACTAGTGATATCAAATTGGGAAGAAAAAGTACAAAACCGAGAAGAGTGGAAGGTGGTATTGATGGTGGCAAAAACTCTTGAAGAGTTGTGATACCAATGAAGAAAGAGGAAGAAACTTTTAGGTACATATTTTACTATATTTTTCAATATTTAGAAAAATTTTATCTTTAACCCTTATACGTTAAAGATGTACGAACCTCGTTTTTTCAAATGGGAACATATGTTTAAAATTCCATAAATATATAGAAAAAAAATCTAAAAAAATGTTAGCGTTTGAATTTTAAATTTTTACCCATTTGTTCGCTGTATATGACTTTGTAAAGATTTGAATTTTTGTCTATATTTTTTAATAATTTCATTCGATTCAACAAAGACAAGTAGTTTTATTACTTCAGTCATCACATAAAATATAATAATAATTTTATGTTAGCCCATTCCATATCATAATCAGTATAATAAATAACCACCCATTATTAGGTATAACGGTGTTACATATAACGGACTTTACACTTTAACCTAATCTAACCGGAGCTAGTTATTAGCTGATTATCTCGGATGACAATCTAGTATCTAAACTATACACCATTAACCACGGAACAATCGAGTGACCAGTAACCATAATATATTTTATTTTTAATACAAAATCGCATAGTATTTATTATTTGTACATAACCTCTTTCGACCAACAAACTTTGACTTCACACAAATGTATTTATTAATAAACGACTTTTCTTAATCCCTTATATTTTTAATTCACACACTAACTTTCTAGTTAAATTTTTATTTTGTACAAATCAAGCAGCATAGGTACATGGGCATCATTTTACTGGACTACTACTTTTTTTGAATTTGAACAATTTACATTATAAGGGAAAATTTTAAACAGATATTTTATCGATGCATAGGTTTGAGTTCAAAATCTATTAATTTTACGGTAGTACTAAATTGTTTTTGCGTTCTCTGCTGTTGTTGTTGTAATAGTTCTTATGTGTACAAAGGCCTTGAATACAGAAATATAAAAAAAAAATGAATTTTTTTATTCGGTGCAAGTCGATATACTACTATTTGCTTTTATAAAATTTTACAACTGTTGTTTTCAAGGTTTCACAGTATTTTTTGTCAATGAACATTATTTTTCTGCGAGAATGAATAAAATAACAACTTTACATGTAATGTAATGATGTATTAACTGCTTTTGCCCAAAATGATAAGTCCATGTTCTTTGAATGAATCAATGTACGTGCTGCTTCCACAATAGTTCTCATTTCTCGATCCGCCCCAGAATTTTGCTTTGGTATGTACGCTATTGTTTTTTCATGTCGGATGCCATATTTCTGCAAAATACTTGTTACATCTTTAGAAACAAACTCTAAACCATCGTCAGTTCTAATAGCTTTTACTTTATTTCCAGAATCATTTTTAACAGATCGAATAAATAACTCTATTTTATTTTTGACCTCATTTTCATTTCTCAAACAAAAGACCGTCCGATAATGCATATCCTTGAACATTAAAAAATATTGGGAATGATCCAAAGATTTTTGCTGCATTGGACCACATAAATCTGGATAAATTAACTCTCCGGTTTCACTTGATGCAGTCAAATGACTCTGAAATGGCTTTCTCGGTTACTTCCCAATCACACAGTCACTGCAAAAAACTGGTTCCAATCACCGCTTACATTTATATTATGTTTAAGCAAACATGATTTTACGTACTGTTTACATTGATGTCCAAGGCACTCATGTCAAAACTGAATGGAACCTGCGATCGCTGCTTTTACTTCCATTTGCCCGTTACCTTGGTCGGTCAATGTCACGTCGTCGGCTATTTGCTGTAAAATCTCAATGTTCATATTGTATAACCCGTTTTTGCGTTCTCTAGTGCAAACGACTTCATAGTTTTTCAACTATTTATTTAACAATTTCTTACTGTCTGATTCCATCTTCAAACCTTTATCTAATGCCTTTTCCGTACTAAATAAGTTATACTTTAAATTTGGTACATATAACACATTACACAAAAAATTTTTATTCATGTTATTTCCCACATAACATATTATGTTTATACTACCCGAACCTTTTGCCTGTAAATTCGTACCATCGCTAATCCTTATTTTCACTAATGACCTGAATTTTTTATAGTTCACAAACCACTCTCTGTTGCTTGTCATGTGTTCAGTAGCTCCTGAATCCAAATACCATTGATTCTCTTTGCGATCAGTAATACAAGTTCACTATAGAACGCTTGACCTGTTAAACTTGTACTTGGCGAATCCGGTTTTGCCTCACCCTGATCCTTCTGGTACTTTTGATAGTTCCTGCAGTCTTTCTTGAGATGACCTAGTTTCTTGCATCAAAAACAGGGGTCTATCTTTTTAGTATTATTATTACTAAAATTACGTTCATTACCAACATTACCACCACTCTTCTTAAAATTTTCTTTTGAAATCTTTTGACAGTCAAAGCATTGGATTCCTCTGCTTCAACCTCTGAACTTCCTTGAGACATTCTTGAGTCTTCTATTAGCAACCGAGATGTAAGTTCATTAAAATTTTTACTTGCTTGAGGTATATTGTCCCATGCACTGTAAATATGTTTATAAGATGGCGGTAAAGTCATAAGAATTTTAGTTAGCAACATATTATCAGAGATTTTCTCTCCCGAAAGAGCAAGTTGGTTTTGAAGACTCTGTAGTTTGCTGATATGCGTCGAAATGTCATCTGAAGGCTCTTTTACATAACTGAAAATTTATTTTGTAATAAATGTATACCTGCTTCAGATTTTTGCTCGTAGATACTTAATAATTTGCTTCACATATCATATGCTATACTACAATTAAGCAAATATTGTAACGGTAGAAACATGAACGTTCTGTTTTATAATGTATCTTATATTCATTTAAATATTTTTCGACACATGAGTTTTAAATAAATTACTTATCAATGATTTAAAAAGGAAAATTAAAATTTTCAACTAGAATTGTATAATAAATATTTGTTGGAACAACATTTTATATTTTTTTTTTAACTAGACATTTATTGAGCCCCTATAATAAGAGTAAGGGAGAATGGAGGAATACCAGTCAGTGGTAATACCGGCCAATGGAATATCTCTTAAAATATGATAACTAAAATTTAGATAAGCACATAATTAGATAACTGTTGTAACCAGAACGTAATATTAGATGTTTCAAAATAATAAACAACTTTTTTCTCACCAAAAATTAATTACCAATTTTCATATCACTTTTGTTGTAATATTTTTCCAAAATAAAACTCATCTCAAATTAAGAATTTCTAATGTTTTACTATTTTGTCTGTTTCCAATATATAACAAACTGGTAAGGATTGCATTTATTTCTTCATATTACACCTAAATATAACAGCTTTCAAGTAAATACATGCATTTAAAAAAAGTCTGATAGGGGTAATACCAGTCAAAACTGATGGGGTAGTAACCATGATTGAATAAAACAAGGTGTTTGCACATATACCCCTTCTTCATAAAATTTTCGATGAGAAAATCAAATATGAAATATTTATAGCAATATAAATTATTGCTGGTCCCACGATACCTTATAAACTCCTATAACTGGTTTGAACATACTATCCACAGATTCGCATCGAAGCGTTTATTTAAAAGTGATTTTATCACTTTCAATTATAATAAAATCTGTAGACCTGTGACCTCTCTGTCCCCACTATGCCCTGACCCAACTGTGCTGGCCTTTTTAACTAACCCCAATTCATAGGCCTTGAAAAAAAAAAGAAGTTTCTTTTGATGTTCCAAAAAAATGTATATATATATATTTAAAAAACTAAAAAATATACACAAAAAAAAAATGTATCCTCTTGACTTTGGTTTGGTTTTAATTAAATTTGTTATGCTTAAATGGTGGGAGTAAGTATTGCAAGCAATTAAGATCTTGGTCAAATAACAAAGGTGTATAATAACAGAAAGAGAAATGTCTAAATAAATATAAATTAATTAGGTAAAAAAAAAATTAAAAGAGGGAAAAGTAATGACAATTAAAACGCCTATTAAAAAACAAACGAAAATGTATTATTTCTTTTGACTAGTAAAATATATAACAATAATAATTTACACAGTTCTACAAGAATTTATAGCAACACTAATGTAAAATTTTTACTTTAGAGTACCTATTTAATAAATAATGTGAGACTCTTAATGTGAATCATTGTACAGTTCGATTGTGGATTTCTATTTCAGAATCAATACAAATAATTATAATGGTTTATTAGCTATAAAAACTGTTATATATTAAGCAGTTCAATTGTAGGGTAATACCCATTGTCGGTCACATCAGGCGGTATTAGCGATGTGATAATTGTAATAATAAATCAGTTCTCGACCAGCCGTCAATATGAATGTGCTTTGATAATTACGGTATGCAATAAAAACAATTTTTTAGAATCGTTAGCATAATTTGAGTCTCAAGAAAAACTCAAAATATTTTTGTTTCGCACTATTAAATGCGTAAGTATATAAAAGACCTTGAAGTGTTGCGTGTAAAAACGCATCGTTTTTTTTTACCATTGTTTTTATTTAAAGTATTTTATAAATAACTTTCAACGTACTAAAAAATATGTATTATGAAAAGATGCATGCACTGTAAAAATATTAAAATCCAAACAAAACCCTCGAGTATTTTTTATTGAGTATTTAACGGCATTCCTAAAAATTGAATTGAATACTCGGTACTTCTATTTAATATCAGGGATGGGCAAATTATAGGATATTTTCGACCAAAAACAAAGTAGATGTATCTTGAAAATAAAAATATATAAAATACAAGAAGAAGTTTGTTTCGAAAACATGTATTTTAAAAAATTGACGTAAAAAATATAACACTTAAGACACAAAAAAAATTAAAATACATCATAAAAAACAACACCTTATCAACTCTGCGTCTCTACTGTAATCGTATCTACCGTTATACTTAGAAAATACGTTTTTTAGCGACTTGTGGCCATTACAGTGATTTTATAGATATTTGTGTGATTTTTACCGTACATAGATTAGCATTGAAAAGTTTATTTTAAAAGTGATTTTGTCACTTGTGTGGACATCGGACCTTTAATGCATTCCTTCTATGCTGGTTTATACTGTGCTTGGTTTCGCGACTGTACTAGTTTATCCACTGATTTGCATTGAAGCGATAACTTAAAAACACATTCTATTGAGAAGGTGTCTCTAGTGATCAATACTCAACAGGTAGAATTTTTGGTCAATTTAGTACCGCTAAGAGATGTCAATCTAACATGCCATATTATAAGAATTATAATTTTTACTCGTGTTTTGACTTTACAGCCTGATTTCCATTGCATAATAATATAGTGTTCTGTGGTTTAATATTTTAATTGCAATAACATAAGTGTAATATGTATATGTATAATTTTCATATTTCATATAGGTAGGTAGATACAGGATAATCCATTTAACATTTGTATCTCTTACATGTATGTCATAAAAAATATTATGATTTTTTAGTTTTCCTTTTGTTTTATTTCTTTTTTTACAAGTTAAAGATGTATAGTATCCTACTTATTTTCAGTCTAATTATCAGCTCTCAAGTCTAAAACAAAAAAAAATTTCAACCCTTGCGGGGGGGGGAATGCAGGGCTATCGACTTTTGATTTTAAGCTATTGGGGGATAGACAGCATGCCTAATTAATGTTCTTAAGAACTTGTGCGTCGATCCGACCGTTTTTCGCTAAGTTCTAGCAAGTTCAAGTTCAAAGTCTAAAAGCCGGCAAATTTTTCGAGTTTTGTTGGTTTTTGGGGGTGAAGAAGTTGATTTTTCTACTTTTGATCCACCAAAGTACAAATTGCTAACCATTTCGCATATATAAAGATGATACTCAAGTAAATCGGTCCAAAGGAAAAAAATATGTAACCCCTCTGTTTAGGTAATAGGTTTATTTTTCACAGTTTTTCTTAAACATAAGGTTAACAACAGATTTTTAATAAAATTGTTTGTTTGTGTTATTGTTCCATTCTAGATCATTTTAGATATGTTCTTTAGATGGGACAATATCGATAAACGTTGACAATATATGTATATAATTTACACATGAGTAAACAGTTTTAAAATATGGTAAGTACATAAAAAAATAACAGTAAGGGAGTGCGTGTATTAAAAATGCCATACAACGCAAATAAAAATGTTCTTATGTATCTGTGGCCTAAAGCAAATTACACGGTTCGATAGTTACAAACTTGGTACTGTTTTAATTCTTCATTTTTCGAACATTCCGTATCCAAGTTTATCGTTTGAACACTTGAAATGTATTTGAAAAATATGATGATGTTTTTTTTCGTTGCATGGTACGTTATGCAATGTCAGGGTAGTAGACCGGCCAATCAAAAAGAAATTGTAAGTAAAATGAGCATTTATCATTTATGATTAATAGAAAATGCTGAGATCCTTGGTGAACTATGTACAAAATGTAATATATTGTTTAGAAAATTTATTTATTGTTTTCCCTTCTCCATTTTCGCACCTAAGAGTTTTTTAAGTAATATTTTCACATTAATACCCAATTGTTGATAACAATAAGAAAAAGAAACTTGAACTACTATGAAATTAATGTTATAATACTAAAAAAAATCGTAGGCCATATAATATGTCTGGTAGTTAGGCAATTTTATTTCGTTAAATAAGGATCAGTTTAACTTGCATTTAGTAGTATACAATTAAATAAATTATTTTTGTTCTTATAACAATAGCAAAACATAACAAGAATAGTCAGTGAACATTACAAGCCGAATGACCTGACCTACGAAAAGTTAATAAGACTATTTGAACTAGTAAAACAAGAAACCCGCGCAAATGGAAAGCTCCTCAGCCTTGATGAATTAGGAAAAAAATTTGAAGGTAATAAATAATAGGATAATGTTCAACAAATGTGTTGAGTAAAGTTTACAAATTTATTAAAAAAATCATTTCAATAATCAAGTCTATAATTCGTAAAACGGTAAATTGTAAACTAATTAAATAATTAAAAAAATATACACCATTTTTTTAATGGTGTACACAAAAAAATTAGCAGTATATGAGATGCATAATCAGAATTAAATAAAGCCAGTACAGTGGGATAGGGTCATAGTGGGGACGAGGAAGTCACAGGTTTACAGGAATTATTACAGCTGTTGTTTAAATAAAACGTGCGGTGTGCTTACAAAATATTGATGTTATTTTTCCTCTTCACGTTTGTACGATTGAAAAACACATATCAAATGTGTTTTCCACAAATATAAGATTTCTGTAATAATACAAAAAAACATACTTTAATTTTGAGTGAGAAATATGCTAAACATTTCTGTAAAAACTAATAATCCTCTGACCTCTTGTTTTTTTATGTATTTGAAGTATTTGTTATTAGTTTACTACACACGTAGTAGACTACAAACCACAAAATCATTTTATATTTCGATAAATGAATACATAATATACTAGTATAGTATGCGTTGAGTAAAATGTACAAATCTACTGAAAAGACATTTTAATAATCAAGTCTGTCATTTGTAAAACTGTAAATTGTGAAGTAACTAAATAATAAATATATATGGCACCATTTGTTTGATGGTGCCCACAAAAAATTTAGCAAATATGAAATGCATCATCAGATTTTAAAAAAACCAGTACTATGGGGTTGGGACATAATGTGGTCATGGGTTTACAGGAATTATCACAAATGTAAGTGATAAAATCACTTTCGAATAAACGCTTCGATGTGAATCAGTAGTTAGTATTTTCAAGCCAGTACAGTCCAAACCAAGCACAGTATAAACCGGCGTAGTAAAAAATAATTAAAGTAATGTGCAGTGTTTACAAATTAGCATCGAAACGTTTATTTAAAATTGATTTTATTAACCCTTAAGCAGGCGCGTGCCTTTATTTAACATTCATAGTCACGTGGGGGTCTATCATACCCCATTCCTAAAAATAGGTACTTTATAAAACAAATGTCTAATAATTGTATAACGCCGTATAGTGCGTATTATGTAGCTTACGTGTATTTACTGTTCAATAGAAGCTGTCTTTTTAAAAAGATATTTAAAATTTTGTTCTTTAAGGTTTTAATTTCCCGAAAAACGAAGTTGTAAAAATCATCCAATTTATTGCAGGTGACGATAGTATGACGGTAAATAAAAAACTAAAATCACTATATTATGGTTGGTTAGGTAGTTTTTTGCGGGGATATTTGAAGTATTGAAACTTTCAACTATTTTGTGTAAAATAGGTTTAAGTTATTCTGGTAAGTATAACAAGTACATAAAAGTTTAGATTATGAATATTCTGAGGTTTTTGCTGTTACTTGCAAAATGCGAATTATTGTTTTATAAAATTAATCTTTTATTTTTATTCTGATAACCTTAGGAATTTGTAACAGAAACATTCACAAAGAATAATTATGCAGAAAATGGTATAAACTTTAAACTATTAAAACTTATCACTAATGTTGTAAGAATCGAAAAGGGTTTGGATATCTCCACTGATATAGTTGCCCAATTGAAAGCGGATTTGATAAGTAATACACATTATTAAAATATTTAGTAAATATGTTGAGAAAAATGTTCATAAACTATTGAAAAGACATTTTAATAATAAAGTCTTTCTATTGATTGCACAGCTATAATTTATATAAATTTTTATAAAAATAAAATGTATTATGTAATTTTACATAATTATTCTTCAATTACGAAAATTTGAAATAATAATAATTTGGAAAACATAATTTTTATCAATATATTTGTTGTTGACCTGATTCGTTTGATTAAAAATGTATAATACTTTGTTCTTTCAGGACGCGAGTTTCCTGTTTGGGAAAAAGATGACATCATTACATGCTTTGTTAAGAATTTACAATTTTGATTACATAATTAACTATTATTAAATCAATCCATGTATGTACTATGTAGTATGTCACATACAAAAATGTAGTCTTGATTGATTAATAAATCATTTTTCTCTTAAATTTCGTTAGTATTTATTTTATTACCTTATGTATTTGTAATTACCTTTGTAATTTACTTTATGTAAATTAGCTATTAACCGATTTTTAAGTTTTACTTAATTTAAATAATTGATTATAACAATGAGTTTTGAGATAACTAGGTAATATATAATTAAACTTACTTTGGAATTACTTATTAAAAACTCATTTTAATACAACTCAATAAAATATAATTATATTTCACAACATTCCTTTCAAAACCTAGAAAATCACACAAACAATTTACATGTCATCTCCGTGTCGTTAAGACCCAACGCTGCTATCATGAGATATTATTAGTTAGATAAACAATTAAAGTATTTTCATTCCGGATAAGACAAAATTATTTGTTAAATTTATCTAGATGAAACAATCCGGATATTGCCAACAATGCTGGTAGAACTTAGTTTAACAACTTGGTTATTGCCTAACTTGCCTAACTTGCCTAACTTGTTAGAAAGCCAATGCTTTCTTATGTTGTACTAAGATTTTCTCTACATCAAATAATTATATTTCCTAAGCTATTGAAAGAGCTTGGTAAACATATCGTGTGTAATTAATTTGAATTTTAATTATCAATTTTCTAAAATAAAATAAAAATGTAGTGTTATGCATTGCATGCGGTGTGTTTTAAAGGAGTTTTGTATAGGCAATTAAAAAAAAAAAGAGTTTTCAATAAATTTTAACCGTATAAATTAATTTAATGGCAAATTTGTATAAGTTTGAATATTTGTAATGTTTTTAATTTAAATACTTTTTGTATGCGTAAAACCCATTTCGATTTATTTTAGACCAATAATCCAGACAAAGTTTTGACTACATAAGATGGTCCCATTTCAATTGTGTAAAGAGATTCGGCAAAAATACTGTGTTATGTAGGAAGCCGATATTCTTTTAAAAATGTCTGTTCAATGTAGTTAAATAAATTAAATTTGTAATTTTTTCAATACTAGAACCAAATACTAGAACAATGCGATAAATGCTATGTAGGTCAGACAAAACGAAATATAGGGGTTAGGTTTAAAGAACACATAAGGAACATTAAAAACCAGGAAGTACACAAATCTCCTGTTGCGGAACTTTTATTGGATACTAATCACAGCATCAAATCTGTTAAATTACTAAAAAATGTAAATAACTCTAAAGAACTTAATATTATGGAAGCGATAGAAATGTTGAAAAATAGGAAAAACTTGTTAAACTCGGACTTAAGTCCATTACAAAACATTTTATTAAAATTTATAAAACGTGTTGACGATGAGTCATCATTTCCGGTATGACGACGCTGTATAGGTATTAGTGATGGGAATCGGAAATCCGGATTTTTACAAAAAAACGCTATTTAAGCTACTTGAAAATCATATAAGTGTTAAATAATTTTACAATATAAAGCTCTATATCTAAGTAACATTCGTTTGATAAATATGTGAAAATAAAACAAAACACCAAAGAGATAAACTGCTTTTGAATTTCGGATTTGTTGAAATCCAAAAATCAGGAATCCGAAATCCGAAAGCATTTTATAGACAAAGTTAAGAGTTTTTTTTAAAAATTTTTATCAACAAATTTTACTTAGATACACATCTTTATAATGTAATAGTATTTAACAATTATATGATTTTCAAATGACTTAAAAAGCGTTTTTTTGAAAAATCCGGATTTTCGGATTCTCTATCACAAATAGGTATAGAGGGAGAGGTTCGCCCGTCATCGGTCTCAGTTTGTCGTGAGCGCTGAAGATGACAACGTTGTTGCCGAAATACGACGTATTCGCGGAGAGTATATCATTTTTATGGTTAATGGTATTTATTATTATTTTATTACATATAGCCATAAGTGCTTAAGTCTTTCTAGACCAAATTTTTTTTTAAGATTTTAAGGAGCATATGTTAAAATATACAAAATCTCCGAACATCAAAGTTTTTTGGAAAATAAAATAGCATAGGAATATTTGAAATATTGAACAACATTTTTTTGCAACGCTAACCAAAATTGTTTATTGCTAGCAAAATGATTTATACGGCTCCTGTGTTTTTTAGAAACATGATATTATTTGTAATTTTCTAAATAACATTGCTATTTGCGACATACTGTATACATGGTGATCCAATTATCATGAATCACTCAATATCTCATAGGGTTTAATAAGACTCAATTTTTTACAATTTTTTTTGTTTTTGCTCCCATCCAAACCTAAAATTTTATAACTTTATAGTTATTCGAAACTGGTTATAGACCAGTCATAATTGTTTATACATTATTCTTATTTTAAAAGGTTAATAAAATATATACGTTACCATTTAAGTTTCAAAAGATGCTATCAAAATAAGTAAGTTGGGAGGGGGGTTAAAACAAAAATAATTGTGAATAATTGAGATCACATTGTATAAAAAGATGAAAAAAAAATTTTTATTTCTTATTAAACCCTATAAGACATTGAGTGGTTCGCGATAAGTGGAACACCTTGTATTGAAATCTTAATATTTATATTTTAATGTAAAGTCATTACAAATGTTAATAATACTAAAAATATAAACCCTTGGTACCTTTTAGGAATATCAGTTGTTCAAATACTTTATCAGATAATTTATGTCTGGTAGGGGACTCTACAAAACCAGCAACTAAAAAAAAGTCTTTTTGACAAGAGATGAGAATGTACAATGTATTTTTTATTTTGTATCTTAAAATTAAGACACATAATATGTAAATTCGTATTTTAAATATTTGTATTTTAGGTACTGACCATCTCTGTTAAAATTATGGTTATGCGATGTTTTTTTTTACAATTATAAACCATTTAAGTTATTCATCAAAGAGTTTTTTGAATCAAGTTCAGTAATAATAATACTTTTCCAAAGACTCTCTATGTACTCTTTATACTCTTTATTTTGCATATTATAGTAGCTGTTCATATGCCATTAGTGGATTAGTACAATAAAATATAACATTTGCATATAATATTAGTTTTAGAAGAATATTTGTTATATTGGCGTTGTTTAGTAAATAGATGAGCTCTTAATCTGATATCGCAATTAAGAAAATAATATCAAAGTTTTCGTTTACTTTTATATATATGTGTGTGTAAATATACATATGAGTTACCAGCTTTAAAAAAAAACATATTTTTCTTATTTTTGCGCAAAAAATATTCAACCGCTAAGTTATATAGTAAGAAATCATCAATTTAAAACATATAAGGGATTTACATAATATGTAATGTTCTAACAAAACTTGTGCGTCGATTCGACCGTTTTCGCTAAGTTCTAGTGAGTTAAAGTTCAAAGTCTAAAAGCCGGCAAATTTTTTCTCGATTTTTGTTGGTTTTTGGAGGTGAAGAAGTTGATATTTCTAATTTTGATCCACTGAAGTACCAACCACAAGCCATTTCGGATATATAGAGATGGTACTCAAATCGGTCCAATGGAAAAAAATATGTGACCCCTCCTCTTTAGGTATTAGGTTTATTTTTCACAGCTTTTCTTAGACAAAAGGTTAACAACAGATTTTTAAAAAAATATTTGTTATTGTAATTTTCCCATTATAGATCATTTTAGATATGTTCTTCAGATGGGACACTATCGATAAAATTTGACAATATATGCATATATGAGTGAACAGTTTTAAAATGTGGTAAGCACATAAAAAAATAACAGTAAGGAAGTGCGTGTATTAAGAATACCATACAACGCAAATAAAAACGTTTTTATGTATCTGTTGCCAAAACCAAATTGCATGGTTCGATATTTACAAACTTGGTACTGTTTTTCTTCTTCAAATGTATTTTCTTATAGTAAGTACTGCGGTACTTCGAAAAACCCCTATTTGAATCACAGCCATCAAGCAATAATACAATATTTCCATTACATTATAAAATCGTCATAGCTCATATTTTCACAACGGCTTTTTACTGCTAAAACTAATAATTTAACATTCCATATCCAAGTTTATCGTTTGAACACTTGAAATGTATTTGAAAAACATGATCCTGTTTTTTTTCGTTGCATGGTACGTTATGCAATGTCAGGGTAGACCGGCCAATGAAAACGAAATTGTAAGTAAAACGTGCACTTATCATTTATGATTAATAATAAATGCTGAGATCCTTGGAGAACTATGTACAAAATGTAATATATAATATAGAACATTTGTTTATTGGTTTCCCTTCTCCATTTTCGTACCAAAGAGTTATTGAGTAATGTTTTTACTTTTATTTTCACATTAATAATCAATTGTTGATAACAATAAAAACTGTTTTAAAAAACCAGTACAGCGGTGTCGAGGCATAGTTGGGTCGGAGCATAGTGGGAATGGGGAGGTCACAAGTTTACAGGAATTTTAGCTTCGATGCAGAGCGGTTAAGGTATTGGTTTTACTCTGATTTGGGCTTTTTTTTTATCTGTATACACTGTAATTTTTTTAATACTTATTTATTTATTGATAATATATACGCCCTATCGGTCTCAGTACAGTACAAATAATACAAATATAATAATGATAAATTAACAATGGTTTATAATTTAAAGAGTGTATTATATGATAGATTAAATTTAATTTATCAGATATTTTAAAATTTTTACTGTACACCTTCCTTCGAGTATCAACTCTATAAATCACAAATATCATCTAGTTGGTATTTTGGGGAGTAGGGGGGGGGATAAAAGTTGAAAAAGTTTACTCGAAGGAATTGGTCGAGTATTAAAAAAGTTACAGTGTATACAGATAAAAAAAGGCCATATCAGAGTAAAACCAACACCTTTGCCACTCTGGATCGAAGCTAAAATTTGACTACTATGAAATTAAGGTTATAATGCTGAAAATTGTTTTATTCGCAAGCTATATATCATGTCTGGTAGTTTCGTTAAATATGGATTAGTTAAAC